ATATCGAAAACGTGTCACTCTCCCCGTTTGGGAATACAAGGAAGAGTTTTTTAAAGTCGTTTCTGAAAATCAGGTATGTTTTCTTATATATTTCACATTTTGTGAAGGTAACGGTCCTGGTCGGTGAAACGGGATCCGGTAAAACCACGCAGATACCTCAGTGGTGTCTAGAATGGCTCAAGTCTCGTTACACCTCTAAAAAATGCGTTGCTTGTACGCAGCCGCGTAGAGTTGCGGCGATGTCCGTGGCCCAGCGTGTCTCGGAAGAAATGGATTGCCAACTTGGAAATCAAGTCGGTTACAGCATCCGTTTCGAGGATTGTACCTCCAACCTTACTATTTTAAAGTTAGTCTGGTTTTGCTTGCGCTGTTTGTTTATTTACTTTCCTATTTCGTCAGGTTAAAATGGAGTGATTTATGGGGAATGTCCACAGTAGCCAGTAATAATCCGTTCTCAATTACTTTCACCTGATATCGGACGATGGAATGCAAATCGACGATACGTCTTTGAAATCAATTTCGACCTTTTTCTCAAGATCTTACCTTTACATTAGGTCTTGTATTAGTTTTGCTCATACCAAGTTCTTATCACAACCTGAGTTCCCTACCTTGAGTTCGCTTTCACAGTTGTTAGACTGTGAAAGCGAACCAGTAACGCGACTTTAAGTACACAGTTTCCTATTTTCTTGCGCTTTGTTTAGGTATATGACTGATGGTATGCTGTTGCGAGAAGGTATGTCCGACCCTTTACTTGAAAACTATGGCGTCATATTACTTGATGAGGCCCACGAGCGCACTTTGGCCACAGACATCTTGATGGGCTTGCTCAAAGAAATTATCGGTCAGCGGCCCGACTTAAAAATTGTTGTTATGAGTGCCACTTTGGATGCCGGCAAATTTCAAGTAAGTATTTTATAGTTGCGCTCTCAATGCTTATTCCGACTGCCTTCTTTGGCTTTTAAAAACTGTTCACCTTCGCTCATGCACCTTGTCTTTCAGGATTACTTCGATAAAGCTCCTCTCATGACAGTCCCTGGCAGGACGCACCCTGTGGAAATCTTTTATACACCCGAGCCTGAGCGAGATTATCTAGAGGCTGCAATTCGGACTGTCATTCAGATACACATGTGCGAGGAGAGCGAAGGCGATATTCTCCTTTTCTTAACTGGCCAGGAAGAAATTGAAGAGGCTTGTAAGCGAATCCAGCGTGAGGTTGAATCCCTCGGTCCAGACGTCGGCGAACTTCGGTGCATTCCCCTGTACTCCACGCTCCCACCCAACCTGCAGCAAAGAATTTTTGATCCTCCTCCTGCACCCCGCAAAAATGGAGCTATTGGTAGAAAAGTATGGCTCTTCCCTCTTTTTCCTGTCTGGTTTTCCAGTTGTGAAGGCCGTGTAACTGTCCCTCGTGTCATATGCATTGATAGCAGACCTACTGTCGTAGATTTTCCTTCGAGGTTTATTTTTCGGATGCCAGACGATGAGCATCCTGACAGGATTCTGTTTTACTATGATACTGATGGTTTCTCTTTTTTATGCCAGACCAGAATTCCAAATACACCTCAAACTAGAGAAAGCGAATGCCAGACTGATTATTGAGCGCCCTTGTAAAAGGTCAAATAAGCTACTTTAGTTACTGGCTGAAGTGCTTCTCTCATTTATTGGCGCTGTAAGATTTTATTATCTGTATTCTCCCGCCCGAGTGGCTGAACTTATCAAAGTTACCAGCTAAAAACCATGTAACACACACAGTTAAGCCGTAAAATGTCTCATGTCTCCTTTCCTGTTTTGTTGTTTTTTTCTCTTTTTACCTCATGTCTTTTCAAGTCGAGCTCATTAGTAATTGAAATGAAGATGGTACGCAAGGCCCAAGATATTAGCCGCTTAACATTTACCATCTTCGAAACCGCTCAGAGGATGCTCCAGAATAAATGAAATATATTTAACTTTCGGTAAACGATTCTGTCACCTCTAGAATCGTGGACTTTTCGTTCTCACACCTGCGCCCTTTATGTAGACGCGAACCGGGCTGTCTGTCCTGACTCTTGTCCTACTTGATTTTTTACTTTGTAGGTTGTTGTTTCAACAAATATTGCAGAAACATCTCTCACTATCGATGGCGTCGTCTTTGTTATTGACCCTGGGTTCGCGAAACAGAAGGTCTACAATCCGCGCATTCGTGTTGAGTCTCTGCTAGTGACTGCAATCAGCAAAGCCTCTGCTCAACAGCGCGCCGGACGTGCAGGTCGTACTCGGCCCGGTAAATGTTTCCGCCTCTACACTGAGCGGGCCTATAGTACTGAAATGCAAGATAACACCTACCCCGAAATTTTGCGCTCCAATCTCGGCACTGTGGTGCTTCAGCTGAAGAAACTGGGCATTGATGACCTGGTTCACTTCGATTTCATGGATCCTCCAGGTTTGTTATGCAACCCTACTTGCTAACAGTGTTGCCCTGTTTCTATGTAATTTCTTGTGTCAACCTAGCATAAAGCATAACTGTTGGCATTCAAGTTATCGGAAGCCATGTAAATGGAGAGAGCCAGTTCGCCGAGAACTCA